ATAGTATCTGTACCGCTTTCTGGACAGATATGTTTGTTGAGAATATTGACTCAAATCTCATAAAAAATTTATTTAAGATTTGTTAGATATTGCATGATGGACAAGAAGACTTGTAAAAGAAAAATTTTAAAAGAATGAAGATTCTTAATAGGCAAGTTTAACTTACAGGAGAAGAATTCTAAGAGGAAATGAATTTTTAATGGGTAAATTTGTATGGTTATAAATATGTGAAGTCTCTATAGGGTTAGGTATGAGAAAAAGATGTAAGAAAGTTATAAGATTTTGTGGGATAGACACCCCATAGGAGTATTGGGGCTCTACGTCTTATGGGTGTGTATGTTTATTTGTGAGTGGACTAGAGGAGACTGAGAGGGTCCACATAGGTATGATGTATGGGAGCATATGGGTATATATTTGGTTATATTGAAAGGGTGCACAAGGGTTTGAGTTTGTGTTTGTTTAGATTGAGAATACTCCATAGGACTAGAGGAGATTGAGAGTGTCTTATGAGTATTGATTGTTGAGTGAGGTTGATGATTTGATGTATGTTTGTAATTTTCTACAACTAGTAGATCTTGTTTCTCATCCGTGAACGTAAGTTGATTGGCCTGAACCACGTTAAATTATTATCGATTGTGTGTTTGATTTATTATTTGATTTCGTTTTCGTTGGTGTGATTGGATTGGAGCTTTTAACCCAACAAATGGTATCAGAGTGGTGGTGTTCCCCAACAAGTGATATCAAAGCTAAAAGTTTGAAACGTGAGAAGAGTCAAATGTTCGAGATGTGAGAATAGCCGATGGTTCGAGATATGAAAAAGTTGACAGTTTGAGATATGAAAAGAGCTTGATTTAAGACATGAGAAAAAGTAAGCTTAGAAGAGCTCGATTCAAGAGAAAAGTTCGAGTTCAAGTTTTAAAGATTGAAGATCAATTTGTATGAATCGTGAAGACATATAAGAAAAAATGATTGTGAGACTTCTATTACAAGTGAAGCCAAGCTTGTCTAGTATGAAGACAGATGATTGATAGAATTTGAGTCAAGATGGAGATTGTTGGGAATATTGACTCAAATTTCATAAGAGATTTGTTAGAGATTTGTTAGATATTGCTTGACGGACAAGAAGACTTACAAAAGAAGAATTTTAAAAGAAAAAAGATTCTTAATAGGTAAGTTTGACTTGCAAGAGAAGAATTCTAAGGCGAAAGAGATTTTTAATAGGCAAGTTTGACTTACAGAAAAAGAATTCTAAGAGAAAAAGATTTTTAATGGGTAAATTTGTATGGTTATAAATAGGTAAAGTCTCTACAGGGTTAGGTATGAGAAAAAGATGTAAGAGAGTTGTAAGATTTTATGAGATAGATACCCCATAAGAGTATCGAGACTCTACGTCTTATGGGTATGTATATTTATCTGTGAATGGATTAAAAAAGACTGAGAGGGTCAACATAAGTATGATGTATGGGAGCATATGGGTATGTATTTGGTTATATTGAAAGGGTGCACAAGGGTTTGAGTTTGTGTTTATTTAGATTGAGATACTCCATAAGATTAGAAAAGATTGAGAATGTCTTATGAGTATTAATTGTTGAGTGAGGTTGATGATTTGATGTATGTTTATAATTTTCTACGACTAGTGGATCTTGTTTCTCATCCGTGGACGTAGGTTGATTGGATTGAACCACGTTAAATTATTGTCTCTTGTGTATTTGATTTATTATTTGATTTCACTTCTATTGGTGTGATTGGATTGGAGGCTTTTAGCCCAACAAATGATATCAGAGCTGTGGTATTTCCCAACAAGTGATATCAGAGCTCAAAGTTCAAAACGTGGGAAGAGTCAAATGTTCGAGATATGAGAAGAGTTGACAGTTCGAGATATGAAAAAAGCTTAGTTTAAGACATAGGAAGAAGTAAGCTTAGAAGAGCTTGATTCAAGAGAAAAGTTCGAGTTCAAGTTTTGAAGATTGAAAATCAGTTTGTATGAATCGTGAAGACACACAAGAAAAAATAATTGTGAGACTTTCATTACAGGTGGAGCCAAGCATATCTAGTATGAAGACAGATGATTGATAGAATTTAAGTCAAGGTGGAGATTGTTGGGAATATTGACTCAAATCTCATAAGAGATTTATTTGAGATTTGTTAGATATTGCTTAATAGATAAAAAGACTTACAAAAGAAGAATTTTAAAAGAAAAAAGATTTTTAATAGGTAAGTTTAACTTGCAAGAGAAGAATTCTAAGGGAAAAATGATTCTTAATAAGCAAGTTTGACTTATAGAAGAAGAATTCTAAGAGAAAAAGAATTTTTAATGGGTAAATTTGTATGATTATAAATAGGTGAAGTCTCTACCAGGTTAGGTATGAGAAAAAGATGTAAGAGAATTATAAAATTTTATAAGATAGACACCTCATAGGAGTATTGGGGCTTTACGTCTTATAGGTGTATATGTTTGTTTGTGAGTGGACTAGAGGAGACTGAGAAGGTCCACATAGGTATGATGTATTGGAGTATATGGGTATGTATTTAGTTATATTGAAAGGGTGCACAAGGGTTTAGGTTTGTATTTATTTAGATTAAGAATACTTCATAGGACTAAAAAAGATTGAGAGTGTCTTATAAGTATTAATTATTGAATGAGGTTGATGATTTGATGTATGTTTGTAATTCTTTACAACTAGTGGATCTTGTTTCTCATCCGTGAACGTAAATTAATTAGATTGAACCACGTTAAATTATTATCTCTTGTGTATTTGATTTATTATTTGATTTCGCTTCCGTTGATGTGATTGAATTAGAGGCTTTTAGCCCAACAAATGATATCAGAGCTGTGATGTTTCTCAACAAGTGATATCAGAGCTAAAAGTTTAAAATATGAGAAGAGTTAAATGTTCGAGATGTGGGAAGAGTCGATGGTTCGAGATATGAGAAGAGTTGATAGCTCGAGATATGAGAAGAGCTTGGTTTAAGACATAGAAAGAAGTAAGCTTAGAGGAGCTCGATTCAAGAGAAGAGTTTGAGTTCAAGTTTTGAGGATTGAGGATCAGTTTGTATGAATCGTGAAGACATAAAAGAAAAAATGATTGTGAGACTTTTATTACAGGTGGAGCCAAGCATGTCTAGTATGAAGACAGATGATTGATGAAATTTGAGTCAAAGTGAAGATTGTTTGGAATATTGACTCAAATCTCATAAGAGATTTGTTTGAGATTTGTTAGATATTGCTTGATGGAGAAGAAGACTTGCAAAAAAAAATTTTAAAAGAAAGAGAATTTTTAATAGGTAAGTTTGACTTGTAAGAGAATAATTCTAAGGGTAAAGAGATTCTTAATAGGTAAGTTTAACTTACAGGAGAAGAATTCTAAGAGAATAGATTTTTATGGGTAAATTTATATGGTTATAATAGGTGAAGTCTTTACAGGGTTAGGTATGAGAAAAAATATAAAAAATTATAAAATTTTATGGGATAGACACCTAATAGGAGTATTGGAGCTCTACGTCTTATGGGTGTGTATATTTGTTTGTGAGTGAACTAGAGGAGACTGAGAGGATTCACATAGGTATGATGTATGGGAGCATATGGGTATGTATTTGGTTATATTAAAAGGGTGCATAAGGATTTGAGTTTGTGTTTGTTTAGATTGAGAATACTCCATAGGACTAGAGGAGATTGAGAGTATCTTATGAGTATTGATTGTTGAGTGAGGTTAATGATTTGATATATGTTTGTAATTCTCTACAACTAGTGGATCTTGTTTCTCATCCATAGACGAGGTTAATTGGATTGAATCACGTTAAATTATTATCTCTTGTGTATTTGATTTATTATTTGATTTCGCTTCCGTTGGTGTGATTGGATTGGAGACTTTTAGCCCAACAAATGGTATCAGAGCTGTGGTGTTCCCTAACAAGTGATATCAGAGCTAAAAGTTTGAAACGTGAGAAGAGTCAAATGTTCGAGATATGGAAAGAGTCGATGGTTTGAGATATAGGAAGAGTTGATAGTTCGAGATATGAGAAGAGCTTGGTTTAAGACATAGGAAGAAGTAAGCTTAGAATAGCTCAATTCAAGAAAAGAGTTCGAGTTCAAGTTTTGAAGATTGAAGATCAGTTTGTATGAATCGTGAAGATACACAAAAAAAATGATTGTGAGACTTTCATTGCAGGTGAAGCCAAGCATGTCTAGTATGAAGACAGATGATTGATGAAATTTGAGTCAAGGTGAAGATTGTTGAGAATATTGACTCAAATATCATAAGAGATTTGTTTGAGATTTGTTAGATATTGCTTGATAGATAAGAAGACTTGCAAAAGAAAAATTTTAAAAGAAAGAGGATTAAGTTTGACTTGCAAGAGAAGAATTCTAAGGGGAAAATGATTCTTAATAGGCAAGTATGACTTACAGGAAAAGAATTCTAAGAGAAAAGGGATTTTTAATGGCAAATTTGTATAGTTATAAATATGTGAAGTCTCTACAGGGTTAAGTATAAGAAAAAGATGTAAGAGAATTATAAGATTTTGTAGGATATACACCCCATAGGAGTATTAGGGCTCTATGTCTTATGGGTGTGTATGTTTGTTTATGAGTGGACTAAAGAGACTGAGAGGGTCCACATAAATATGATGTATGGGAGCATATGAGTATGTATTTGGTTATATTGAAAGGGTACACAAGGGTTTGGATTTGTGTTTGTTTAGATTAAGAATACTCTATAGGACTAGAGGAGATTGAGAGTATCTTATGAGTATTAATTGTTGAGTGAGATTGATGATTTGATGTATGTTTGTAACTCTCTACAACTAGTAGATCTTGTTTCTCATCCGTGGACGTAGGTTGATTGGACTGAACTACGTTAAATTATTATCTCTTATGTATTTGATTTATTATTTGATTTCACTTTCGTTGGTGTAATTGGATTGGAGACTTTAGCCCAACAACGTTTATATTCACCAATGAATGTCATGATATATTTAATCCTATACGACAAGACATTTCAAATCAAAGCAAATACACAGCACAAGAAAATTAAAGACTACAGGAACAAATTACCCTCCCCATCTTGCACACCATGAAGTAGCTCCTCTATCATTTGCAGTGCAATTCTCTCTTCATCCATCTCTCTTCTCAGTTCAGGCCCAGCTAACACTGGGGTCTTGTTGGAAGGTAATGTATTGGCAGAAACTTCAGCGTTTCCTTTTCCAAGCTGGACTGTCATGACCCAATTGGAATCTGAGCTCTGGCCCGCTTGCTTTTGCCACACTCCTATATGAGAATTCTCGATGTCAAGCCTCAGACAAGTCATGGAAGGAGAAGGTGCCTTGCTACATTTTCTAAGCTTGGCATGGAGGAGTTCAGATAGCTCATTTGGTGGTGTTGAAAGGGAATTTTCAGTGCCTTTTGGGTCTCCACTTGGTATTTGTGATATGGGGAAGTTCGTTTTTGCATTCCTGCCACTCATTAAGATGGCTGCTTGATCATAAGCTCGGGCTGCCTCTTCAGCTGTTTTAAATGTACCTAGCCACAACCTTCTCTTTCTGCAATAAAAACAGCAAAATTATAGGGAAAAAAAAAACAAAAAGAGAATTTTGAACATTGAATTGTACGTTTTTGCAGTGCTGTTTATTATTGCCATTAATCTATTCCCCAAGCAGAAAGGGAAAAAGAAAACTGAGAAAAGCGCGTAGGTTAGACTTACAGTAAAGGGTGGCGAATTTCAGACACCCAGGAGCCCCGGTGTCGCTGTCTGACACCTCTAAACTTCTTTGATTGCACCATAATTGGAAACAAATAGAGGCTTTTTTTATTTTGGTGGCTCAAAGCAGCCTCAAACAGATGGAGGGCTAAAACTGAAACAGGCACGCAAAAACAGGTTCATGAGAGAAGATACATCATATACACAGATGAATGAAGTACATAAGAGCTCAGAGAATTAGAGATATACTATCATATATGGAGGAGATACTGAGTTTAAGTTTTAACTGAAAAGATGCATTGTCGGCTAACTAAAGGGAACAAGGATTGTACTAGGAAACTTGCAATATTTAACATCATAACCTACATCTTCCTTTAAACCATACTAACCTACCAAATAAATGACTGGGGACGAAATGTCATGTGGAGAAAATTTTCATCTTGACAAAGTACAGTTGTCATGACAAAAGACTGCAACAAAATACTGTCATTAATTTATTAGATGTGTTACTTGCCATCAGCTACTGTCGACTTCTTAATTACTAGATGAAATAACGGTTGAAACCTTAAAAATTCTTTATATGATGAGAAGATTAAAATGTCCTTAAGCCGATCTATGAGCCATCTTTGCAAAAGAGGAAACCCGACCGAACATGTGGTTTACGTTGCATGCCACTCTATCATCAGCTGCTTCTCATGCAATATAATTTCACGTGATTGAAATTAATGTAAAAGTGACATTGATGGGACAAGTTTTCATCAATTATACTCAACCTATGATTACTTTTTAAGATCATTACTAATATTAAAGCAGAATAAAGTGTACAGAGAGGTTATTATCCAAGCAAATTAATGATTTGGACAATGATTTATAGTATATGTTTTTAGCTAATCTTTTATGGTTTTTTGGGAAGTTTATGAACTTCACATGGAGGAACTATTAATGTAGGCCCAGGGCTTATAAAAAGGAAGTTCCAAAGGAACCAATACAATCATCTGATTGGAAGATGTTGTTAGACCACCAGGGATAAGCCATCAACTGCTAGGAAGAATACCGACTGATCAGTCTTGTTCCTATAAGGATTCTGAGTTAAAAGCACACCAATGCAATCTCTTGCAAATGTATGTGATGACTTCATATCTCTTTAAAGATCAGAAAGTGACTACTCAAAGAGCAAGAAAAAATAATTTTCCTGGCACATGAGTGCAGGCACTCATGGGGCATATAATTTCAGAACTTATGACTCTTAACCAAATTCTATGGTAACTGCTCAGAATCGGCAAGTCTTAATTTAACTCTTTTTATAGATTTTGAACTCGCTGTTTGTCCATTCACCCTTGTTTATTTTTTATCAGTTGAATAAATCAGCCAGGAATTCGGTCAGTCAAAGAACTTTTCTCAGGTTTTTACTGAATCTTCATGCTAGTTTAACTGCCTATTTAAGCCAGCTCTAGAAGAGAAATTTCTAAACCCACTCTCCCTCTCAGAAAAAGCTACATTTCTGATTGGTGATGCTGACGCATGAAATTTCAGATTTTTACATAATCGATACAATCCAGTCGAAAATCTGTCCAATCAAAAGTAAGGAAATAGTACAGTATAACCAAATAGATAAAGATGGTGAGAAAATACCTTCCCTCATCCGAATTCAATCTCTTGCTTGTTAGTTCTGACAAGAAAAGAATCTTCTCTGAATCAGAATTATATGCTGAAAAAGCACATTGCACCCACTTCTCGATTTCACTTAATTTCTTGTTGAAGTATATTTTACTTCTACTCATTTCACTGATTCTATGATTTTAAAATCAGAACATTATGGAAAAATGTCTCCAGCTAGATCGTCAAAAACATTGTAACTCAATAATCAAGTGCCTTCCCGACATAAATATGAAGCATGTGTCGTGACTGTTTATGCCAATAAGGGTATTTAGGACAACTGAGATTTTTAAAACATCAATTTGGTGCGATTTGGCCAACTGAAGCCAAAAGATCGAGTGGCTTTTGAGTCTTCAATCGCAACTCACCACTGCTAACTGGCATCCAAACCGAGCCTTGGTCTGATGAAAAAAAAAAAGGTTGAAAACAGCGATAGTTGTCTGCAATCTTCGACCATCTTTGGTAATTAACCTAACAAAGCTATATATCTGGTTGGCTTACTGCTAGAGGACATTAAACACAACCATGTGCCAATCCGTCCAAAGACCCAGTTTTTTTATTTCTTCTTTGGTAATTATTAAAGCTCTTAGCCCATTGGTGGCACAGTCGTTTTCCTATCTTGAACCAAATCTATGCCTATTAAACCTCCAACCATGAGTCCATAAGCCAATCAGCCCAAAGAGCCAGCTTTCTTGTTTCTTCTTTGGTAATTATTAAAGCTCTTAGCCCATTGGTGGCACAGTCGTTTTCCTATCTTGAACCACATCTGAGCATATCAAACCACCAATGTCCAATCTTTTGAAATGGGTGAGTCTGGCACTCATCGATGTACTCCACGTACTCTCTTTTCTAAAGCGTGAAACCCCACTCTCAGTTTTTTTTTTTTCACTTGAATCAACATCCATTAATATTCATTCCTGAGGTTTAGTATATATTTTCTTTTTTCTTTTGGAATGTTCATGAAATAATTTGGGGATTTATACTTTGTGAGAGTTTGATAAAGTCTCAAGATACCCTGCAAGCCCCATACACAGAAAATATCAACCCTGTCTCAGGTTTTTGATGGAACTGTAGAAAAGCAGATGAAAATGCACTCCAAAAAAAAAATCCTCCTGGAAATGATTTCTATACAGATAAAGAAGATTCCCAATAATGTCAGCAAGCTTGGTTTAGGGTAAGAAAAAGGATAAAAGCAAGAAAGCACCTTATCCTCAACATCTTATCATCGCTTTCTTCTGAATTCTGCAAAAAGAAGTTATCAGACAGCTAATGAAATTGAGAGTAACCAATGCCATGAGGGCGACAGCCGTAATTTTTCCGAAGAATCTGGTAATTACAAAGAAGAGCTAAAAAAACACCTAAAAATGAGCCGCCCTGATCACGATATGCCAATTTTGTTGCACAAAATTGAACTGACGATAAGATATGTTGCCCATCTAGTCCCTCCCTAAGAAGCAATAGACGTCAGCACGAAAGGTTTTCTCCTCAGCCTTGCCGTGTATTGCACGAGCAGCAGTTAAGAGAGCCCAAGCCCACGGTCCCCTCCAAAAGCCAAACCAACATGCCTTTCTCAGGCTTTCATGACATAGTGTTTTACAGAAAAAATCTCACATTCAAAAAAACACTGGAAAAGAAGAAAAAAAAAACTCACCACTCAGGCGTTCCTTTCCTTCCTACATTTATAAAATATGTAATAAAATATTGCCCATTTGGTTCCAATATTTTTATTCAGCATTCAGACTTGCTTATTTTATGCACCACTACCATACTAACCAACCCCCCCCCCCCCACCCTCTTCTTCCCCAGGCAAAACCAAAACAAAGCATCATTTTTATTCACCCATTTCAGCCTACAAAATTTTTATTTTCTTGGGGTTTGAGATTGTGGTCTTCTGATCTGATATAACATGGCTTCAATATTGAGCTCACAAGGAATGGTCTTAGTTACAGCTATAGCAGTCTCTGGCACTGTAATTCTTCTTGCTTTTCGCCTTCAGAAATCTTTCCCTCTTGATCAAATTCCCCAGCCCTCTCAACAAGTCATCCGCTCCTGCATATCTTCAGGTAAATATCCAAAAACATGTTAGCCGTCTAGCTCTACTATTGCATACATATATGTATTTTAACAATTTTATTTTCTTGGCTTTGGTTTTTGTTTAAAGAAGGGAAGAAGATGGAGAAGAAAAAGAAGAAGAAAGTGCACTTTGCAGAAGATGTGATGGATCCAAGAGGGGACGGAGAAGAGTTCAGGAGACAGGTGAAGAACCCTGGCAGCAACAATTCTCCAGCAGCTTTAAACTCAGCACCAAAGTTCAAGAAAATTGCTGGAATGCCTGCTAACAGAGTTGCTCTTTACAATGGAATTCTAAGAGATCGTGTTGTTCAACGATTGACTTACTCTTGCTGAAAAAATAAAAAGAAAGAAAACCAAAATTTTGCTTTTATTCTTGTATTATCAAAATTGTGCTGATTTTTCACTACAGTTTGTGTCTGCAGTTTGTAATTTTGTAAAAATAGTAAAATTTTTTTTTTCATTTCAATTGTCATTTTTTTGAAGTTTTAATGATAGTGTTTGGCAGTCTATTTTTTCCCTTTCTTTTTTTTTTAAAACTTGTTTTTGGTAAATTCTTTTACTATTTTAGTTTTTTTTTTAATGAAAAAAATTAATCATAGTCTTTAAATAAGAGATTAAGCATCATCAATCATTAAATGAAATATTAAATGCTTATTATTTTGGCTATTTATATTTCATGTTTGAAAAAAAAAATCTCTAAATCAAATAAATAATTAAGGTACACAAATATTAATAAAAATTTTCAGCACATGGATGGACCAAACAAATTGTTATTTATAAAAATAATTGTCTAGATTTTGCCTTTTTTTAAGAGTAAACACAATATTAATCAACACGGTTTGATTTCAAGAGTAAACACAATTTCAAAGCAAAACTGAAATCAAAATTCTTAAAACGGTGTGGTTTATGAATCAAATTAAAAAATTTACATTTTAAATCAAAGTAAATATTTTTTTAATTACAAAAAAGGGATTTCAATCTTATTTTTTAATATAAAATTACATATCATCATTAAATTAAATTTCGGATATCAAACTAAATTAATTTAATTATTTAATTATTTATTGTGGCTTTTTCGATTTTAAGTAAATTAAGAACAGTCTAAATTAGAGAAAAAAAATACAAAATTTAATATATATAAATATATATATATATATTTTTTGCCCCCTCCTCCTGCCCAAAAGGCAAGGCAAGCTTGATGCAGCATGAAGTTTCATGTAATGCCAAAGAATTTAGGCTTTGTTCATGGAAAATATGAGAATGTGTCTTATTTTCTTAACCTTTGAGTTTATGTAGTTGTTTCTTTCCAGACATGGAGGCCTCTTTCGGTCGGACATCTATGTAAGACATCTTCAAATGAATGATTGAGTGAGTGTGGGGTTGAACTCAACCATGTGCTAGATGCTTCGTCTTCTCATGCTGCAGTTATATGCTTCTCTAAAAAAATTATATAATTTTATATAACTAAATATAAAATGATTAATTCGTTCGGAATACATATTATCTATAATCATTATATTATAATTAATCAATTATAATTTAAAATTATATATAAAACCTACTATTATAAATGATATGTTGTCATATAATTTTTTATTATAATTGAATAATTATAAAATTATAATAAAAAAATTAAAAGTGAAACGGTCCCATTCATTATAAACTAAAAATATTAGAAATTTTTTATATATAATTTGCTGTCATTTATTTAAATTTTTGACAACGTGATAAATTACAATAACTTTTTATTTTTTTATTATTTATTAAATCAAACCATATTTTGTTTGGGTTAGTGTCAACAATTTTTAATTTCATGACCCAATTTGTCTAACCTTTTTTTCTTGTCAATTTGGCAGTAGATGGTGGGTGGAGAGACGAGGCAGGTAGGGGTAGGAGACAAGTAAAGGACGGACAGCCTGAAAAGAGGAACATGGGCAACTGATGATTTGGTTGGAAAAAGTTGCATTTCAAATTGTAATTTGGAACGGTCTTGATTGGCATCACCCGCCTTGTCACTTCTATTTGGATTATTTTATTTGCTTTGATTTTGGAAGTGCAAGTACGTGTCTGGTGGGGGCCTGTTTGTGCTTCTCACGTTTCGGGCCCCTGCCCCCAACATTTTTGAGCAGTGATTGGATAAAGCCATGTGAACATTTTCAAGCACGGACCAATCACATTTCGCCTGCCCCTGGCAAAAAGATTTGCAAATAAAAAGGAAGAAATTAATTTTTTAAAAAATGATGGCAATTCAAGCTTATCCTTTATTTTTTTAGAGTAATGGTGGCAATTCATTCATGAATTGCATTGACATTCCAAACAAAAAGTTTTGAGTCACAGTGAATGGCAAAGCTGATTCAGCAAAGTCACGTCATAACTCCATGAAATGAGTTAATCTCCCAGCGACCCTTGGAATCTAGGGTAAGTTCTTGGAAAGCAACCGTTGGACACTCCCTTGAAGGTAGAAAAAATTAGGCAAGAACGTGAAACAGGCGTTACAGCTAACCTAAATTCTTGGAATACAGAGTGAAAAAAAATGAAAAAAATGAAAAATTAATTTAAATTTATAATATTTGATTGGATTCGAATTAATTTTTTTATTTGATTTAGAATAAATTTAAATATTAAATATATATTAAATTTAAATCAAATTTCGAATCAAAATATAAAAAATATAAAAAAATTATATTAAATCGATTTATATATTTTTTATATATTTTTTAAATTTTTATAAAATAAAAATAATTATTTTATATATAAATCTATTTAAATATATTAAAATCTTATTAAAATAATAAAAAATAATAAAAAAACGATAAACCAAATTAAATTAATAAAATTTAATTTATATCAAATCAATTTAAATTCAAATTAAATTTTAAAAATTCATATTATAATGCATTATTTGAAAGAATCAAACTGAATTTTATCCAATATGAATGATTATGATCCTTGGCATACACCAACAAATATTGAAAAAGATATGGAAAAGATACCCATTGCTTTGTTGGAGATTAAGATTGATCATTGGTGTGTTCTAATCTTTCTATTCAAACCACTATTTTTTTTTTTTAATGTAAGAGATCATAACTTGAAAATAAAAGAGATTATAAAGTATTAGAATCCAAAATTTACATTGCTGGTATTTATATAAATCAACAAACTAAATATGTAGAGACTCAGTAGGCACTCGTTTGAAGTTCACGGGAAAGCACCGTAAGTCTATCAGTTAAATGGATATCTGAGAGACATATATGGTTGGGGGAAAAGAAAAAAACTACTCAATGTCCTCATGATGTCTAGCCAAAGGCCTATTAATTTTGATAAAAGGTTGTTTTCATGTACATGCAAATGGTTGAGAGAATGGATTGAAATTCAAGTCCAAACTTTTGAAATTGGAGTATGACGAATCCCTCCGTTCCAAAATGCTTGAACCAAGGATCACTACATCAATAAAAAGGAACATGACAGACACAAAATATCATGGTTATTAGATGCTGCCCTAGATTCCATTTGGTGTTTGCCCCCATTACCTCACCAACCTTTTTTTAATGTTATTAAACATTAGTTTTCCACTTTTAAATCAAAAGATTTCATGTAACATTGGGTTCTTTTACCTTTAAAAAAAGTGGTCCAAGGCCCCCACCTCTCCCACTCTCATTTTTAATGTATATATTATTGACAGAAAAAGAGCATTTGATTGTGTAAGAAATGAGCTAAAACCGACTTCTTTTAAGAATGATTAAATATTTAATTTGAGATTAAATATTGGTTTGATTATTTAATTTAAAATTAAATATTTTAATTTGTTAGAATAAAAATTAAATGTTATCAAACATAAATTTTTTTTGTCTTAATTTCAAAATTTTCTCCCTTCAATTCTTGTTTTTCTATGAAGACTCTCATTATTCTATTCTTGCAGAGAGACACACAAGATGGATTGTTATACAGAGTGTTAAGAAAATTGGCTGACAATTGCATTAATTTGTAAGGATTTTTGGTAATTAATGCTGTTGGTGGTGAAACTAATTCTGATCTGGGTTTATTGCTTTTGGAGCACTCGTTTGTAAATTATGGAAATAAGTTAAAACTTGGCTTCACCATCTACCATTCTTCTCAAGTAATTCTTTGAAGATTTTGAGGGAAAGTACAATAAAGATACTGGTATAGCCCTCGTTTGAAAAGGAAAAAAAAAATGATGAAACACATAAGCGAAAAACCTGCAACTGAAAAAATCAATTTACAAGTCAAAGGGTGTTCGAAAGCAAAAATAAGGAAAATGGGTTTTCGAAATCAGAGTGCACAACAGCAGAGAAAGAAATTGGGTTTTTGAAATCAAACAAAAATTTCTTGATTCCATTAGTGTTTTGAAATCAAACAAACAAAATTTTCTTGGTTCCAATAGTAAGGAAAGCAGTTGGGTTTTTGAAATCAAACAAAAATTTCTTGGTTTAATTGTGGATTTTTGAATTTCATGAGTATTATCATATGGATTGGTGATTTTTTTTACAAATTAATATTGAATAATTGAGAATTTAATTATTGTGCAAAAAAACCAAAACTTTGAAATTTTTTTTTTATTTTTAAATTGTATTTAAAATAATAAAAAAATGAAATGATCTTTTTATTTTTTTCTAAAAAATAAATCTCAATTTTAAATTTATTTTTTAAAATTTTATTTAAAATAATATTTAAACACTAAAATTGTGACACATGATTTTTTTTCATTTAATTATTATTTTTATTAAAATTAACGATACGTATTTCACGTGCACATATTTTCATTCAATTTTATTTTTAATTATAAATATTCAATAATGTTTCATTTTTATTTATGTAAATAAAAATATTTAATTTTAAATTAAATAATCATTAAAATATTTAATCTCAAATTAAACATTTAATTTTTAGAATTTAGATGGGTGAGGTAAGGTTTTGAGTGGCCTTTGTCTTGCTTTATAATGGTGCGACAGGCGGTTTGAAGATAAGGATTACCGACACTAAGTACTAATCATATGATTTTGGGTACTTGATTAGTGGTAATGACGTAGGGTTGATGTTGCCAATTCTCAAATGTTTGCAACAATTCTAACATTCATAGATTGTGCTACAATGAAACGAATTTGTTTATAGTTTGCCAACAAAATTTTGGAATCCGTACAGATTACGTCCCAATTTAATGGGGGAAGAGTATCTTATAATACCACCAATCTGAGACGAGATAATATTACAAATAACTTTTGAATTATAATAAGATATTTAATAAAAAGACAAAAGCGATACCTCCATTTATAAATTTCCTATTTAGCGTAGAGTTAGAATAAAAATTGGATTCACATGTTCAATACGATATTTATATTTAAAAATTTTTAATATATTATTTGAATTATGAATATATTAATTTATTTATTTATTTAAAAAATTATTTAATTATTAAATATTATTATTTAAAATTAATTACATTATAAATAAATATCATATTAATTAACTTGTTTATAATTTAAACGTTTACGCATCTATCGCCTTCCTTGAAAACGTCCAGCATTCATGATCAAAACTCTCAAAGGAGCTTTCTGCAATAAGAAATCAAAGGTTTGCAACAAGGATTCGGGGAAGATGATTGATTTTTAACAATTGCAATAAGTTTCTTTCTTAGTATCTATCAGCTCATTAAATTTGGCCAAATCTGATGTGCTTATGTAGTTATATATAATGTTGCATCATTGCATGCATGTACATGTCCATTACATAAACGGAAGAAATGAAAGATTATTTTATACACACCTCTCATGGCCTAAAATCGTCCATGGGTTGAGCTATCTGTCTAGGCTCACATGCCAGTGGGACTCATGTTGGGCTCAAGCCCATCCCAATAATATTTCGTTAATATTACAACGGTCCAAATTCTTCTTGAGTTTTGGAGAGATACAGAAATTTATATAAATCTGTGATCATCAAGAAAAGGTCGAAAACATAAGGTATATAAAAATTTTTTTGGCCCAAAACTTCGGCAAAGGAATTGGTGCTGGGCCAGATTCTTCTTGATGTAATGCTGGACCAGAATATCTGAGGCCTGATCTGGCAGCGAATTGCTCGGCCGACGCAGCAGGCGAAGTTTGAGGTTGTCGTCGGCAAAGAAGTTCTCTCTCCGACCATTTTTTGGGTTTAAACGGAAAAAAAAAAAAAAAAAAGGAAAAACACCAAAAAGCCATCTTCACTGCTGGCAAATTTTCAACTAAATTACTCCGTGTTTCTCCCATATGGCAAAAAAATTGACACGTCAGTCCCATATTTCAATTGATCACGCACTTTAAATGCGCGTGTACAATTTCAACCTAAAATATCCTGATTTGTAAAACAAAAGTGGTCAAAGTTGAGTCTTAAATTGACCATATAGGGTTTTTGTCTTTCATCCATTTGCGCCGATTCCAAAACCCAAACCCTAGGCGCGTGCATTCCAAACCCCTTCAAAAGCTTTTTCTGTTTAGTTAAAAAACGGTTTCTTCTTAAAAAATCAGTTGGGTTTTCGAAAATTTTGATTTTGATTGTTGTTGTCGGTGGTGGTTGTGAGGGGCACTTATGATTGGTGTTGTCTGATAGTTTCGCCGGATATAGCATGGTGGCTGTTCATAGTTTGATCACTACTTGGATCGCTGACCTTCTCGCTTGGATGGGGTAAGTATTTGATTTCTTTTTCTCAATAATTTCGTTGTTTATTTCTTTTTGGATGTGTTTTTGACTTGTTTGAGTGTTAACATATTTTTTTCTTCATAATATTTGATTAAGAATAGGCAGATTGTAGTTTCGAGATTAATATTTGTACTCAAGATAAGCAATTTGATTAGAACATGGGTTTATTGAGAAATAGGATCATAAATATGTTAAAAGGGAAGGTCTTTATTAGCAGTTCAAGCACCAAACAAAAATTTTGATGAAGTAGAAGTTCCAATCCTTAAAGATAAGTAAGCATATCTAGTTTTCTTGGTTTTACAGTTAATGGTATCAATTTTTGTAAGGATGGAGCTTTAGTACCATGAGAAGATGGCAATACTAAAGAGATTTTTAGAGGGAAAAGTAGAAAATAGACAAAAACCCAACAGGTTGAGTTACCTGTTACTGAAGCTAATGCTAGCTTCAAAGGAGAACTTCCTCTAGTTGGTCAGTCTAGGATTCCTTGAAAGGGCCTAATCTCTATGACCAAGTGAAACTTCCTATACTTGGGATAATCCATGTTGTATAAAATCAATCTCCTATGAAGTAAAGTATCCCTGCTGTATTTGAGGGCAGTAGCTAAACTACATGGTCTTTTCAAACTGGCATCCATGGCGTGATTTAGCTGCTTACATATGCAAAGTCACTAGTTCTATAATTGAGAAGGAAGGCTTCTAGTTCGCCTAGATTATAAAGGAAAAGATGTGTCCAAGTGGAATATGCACACAGCTTGAGCCAGTTGTTGCTTAGTCTCAAAATTGCTAAATAATCTGTTGTCAACTACATGCCCCTTTCATTCTTCTCGTGAAAGAATGACTAGGAAGTGATCGTGTAGGATATAACCTTTACTGTCCCTTATCTTTACATGCCATTTTCTTTTGACTCATTACAGTTCCTGGATGACTTATTTTCAGAAAAATAAGCATATAGGTACGATGTGAATTAAGCTAAGTACTTGTTTTATGCCATGCCTTCTACTTTTGTATATTAGGGCTTAAATATTCTGTAAAGAAAATCATTATGTAGTGCACTTTATCTCCATGGGGAAGTTTCCTACTTTTGCAGCTAGGAAACCAATTATAATACGATTTCTTTATGAAAAGTTTTTGGCTTTTGAACTTGTAATATGTGTTTCATCCCTTTTGTTGGCCGATCTTTCAACTTTCTTCATTTCATTGATGGAAATCAGAATGTAAATGCTAGTCTAGCAGCTTAAGCTCTGTGACAGAAGTAGAGTTTTATTCATTTATTGTCTTTCCAACTATGATATCATTCTTCTTGGAGATATAGTTGGCAAATTGCTTCAGAACATAGTTTACAGAATGTTTCCTTGAAGTTAGAGCGGTCCTATGGTGACATTGTTGATGCAGTTGGGCTGTATCACTAGTGGATTTCAGTGATGTAGTCCTATTGCTGAAAGATGAAAAACAAAAAGGGAACATGTAACTTTCCACTGAACTTTTTTGTTGAAAATGTTAAAACCTTTTGGTATGGGTTCATTTCTGCATTAGCTTCATGCTAGATGTGTTACATCAATGTGTATTGTTTAACCTGGTTTTTAACACAGCAGTGGTTGTTTTGGATGCTGCACTAAACCTACACCAATTATTGCGGTGGATGAGCCATCAAAAGGATTGAGAATTCAAGGGCGTGTAGTGAGGAAGCCTAGCATTTCAGATGATTTTTGGAGCAGCAGCACATATGATTTGGAAAACAGTGCTGTTCAATCTCAAAGAAGCTTGTCATCTAGCAGTGCAACAAACCCAACTCTAAATCAATGCAGCAGCACCGGTGGTGTAGCCAATTCATCTGATTTTGTAAATCAGGGCAAGATTTATTTATTATATTCTTTGTCATGTCCACAAAATAAACGAAACTAAGGATAGATAAGTGAAATTTTAATCATGATATTAATGTCAACTTTGAGATTCTCAAAATTAAATTGTGCAATTATATTTTGTTGATTGCAGGTCTTATTGTCTGGAATCAGACCAGACTCCAATGGATTGGAAGTAGTAGGCCTAGGAATCATATTCAACAAAGTCGAGAGCCCAAATTAAGGTGTGTCACTCATTATTTTGACATTCTTTTTTCCAACATGATAGCAGTCATCCAGGAAATTTATAGATCAAAGTGCTGTCCATCTGTTAAAGTAGTTGCCAATTTATCAGACAGTTTCCTTTAACAACACAAGCTTTTATCTCAATTTAGTGACATTCAGTGAGTAAAAAAAAAAGGTTGTGAAATAAAAATCAAGTCTTGCTAGCTTGTACCATAGTCCTTTCCAATCAACCAGGCAATCCTATATTTCCATGGCACTAAATGTTGCGTCATTTGTTGAATATAAAAGTACATTGAATCTAGGTGAACTTTTAACAAGAGCAGTAAATATAGGTGTTACCGTGTTCTACTTCTTGAGAGTATGAAAATCAAGCATGAAATTTGTGGGCATAAATTCCTGAAGTATGGAAACCAAGAGAGAAGCTGGCTAACTTATATAGGACATGATAGCTTCGTTATAAATACATTACCCTGTTCTGTTCCATATTGTACTCTAACAAAAAATTTAGCTGTGTGGCTAAAGCTTTTTGTTAGGACGAATTCAGTGATAAATGATGGGTATATAAGGCTAAGTAGTAAAGTCTTATGCTGTGAACACGTAACATAAGGTAAAGATTACATGTGTTGAGCTAAGAAGAAAGCTTAGAGAGACTGGAGTAAGGCCTAATTGAAAATGAAAGGTGATCTTTGTTAGTTTGCTCATCTTACTTATACTTAATTTCCCTAATGTTACATTGTTATAGTTGGAATGCAACTTATGAAAGTTTACTTGGGACCACGAATCCATTCCCCCTGCCAATTCCTCTTCCTGTAAGTCCACTCTGTGTTGGTGGCTTTTAAGCACCTTTCCTTGTCCTGCTTTCATATTTGCTTTTTCTGCCTTCTAACCATGATTTAATCGCCAGGAAATGATTGGTTTTCTGGTGAAAGTATGGGAGCAGGAGGGACTGTATGATTGAAGCTAATATCAGAGAGAAAATCGTTTCAGTTTTTTACTTATTAAACAATTGTCCATCTTTGTAATTTTGAACATTTAGGAGAAATTGTATATAGCTGTGAGGAAAGGAAGAAACAAAGTGATCAAAATGCAGTTTCAATTTCATTTGTATAATTTCACAAGCCACTGTCCATACTGTTCTGTTCTCTGTATTTCATTTACCCCTATTTTCTTCCTTTTTGCCATGTTTAACCTCTGTTGAGCTTCTTTGGTTACGATTTGAAGTGAACAGAGAATCTGGTGTCTAGGATCATATTGGTTAAGAAATTGTGGAGAATAAACTAAGAGCAGAAACATAAACAATGGTGCCATCCTCAAGACTGCAAAAAGCAGCCTCTGGAAACATTCTTTGGAATTGGCATATTCATATGCAAACGTGACCTAACAGGGTCCAAAAAGAGGCTATCTTCATGGCATCTTTTGGAAATTCCCTGAAGAACCTGTAAAAATATCAATCAACTAAGACTTCTACAAGCTTAATCGAGCAGTTCACCAATAGAGGAATCAGAGTTGGAAATGTATCGTGACAAGATACGCAAGCAGGCGTTGTTAGGAAAAAAAGAAATCTAGAATTCTCTAGTTAAGATTAGATGACTCTTTTATCATCTTTGTGGGTTTTTTTTTTTTTTTGTTTTTAACGTACGGAGTTTGAATTCAGGAATTGGTGTCCAGCTCGAATAATTCTAGTTCACGTAATCAAGAGATAGTAGTTGAATTTGTTTAAGCATTTTATCAAACTACAAACCCAAATCATAGGTAAATCTCACGATTTGTATATTGATATTGTGCTTATTTTTTATAGCATGTATGAAATATAAAAGTTATTGTTATCATAATTCATATTTATAAATTAAATATAAATTATATTTTTTATTTTATTAAATTTATATATAATTTTTATTAAAATTTAAATTATATCAATTTTTTATTTTTTATATTATTTTTATATCATCTTATAATACTTAAAATCGTATATAATTTCTTACCCAATAAGTCAAATAAACAGAAGAAATCGTATATCTGTCCCCACTCAATGTGAAGCTAAAGAAGCGTCTTTAACGACGATGTTCCAATTCTGTGAACCAAGAAAACAAAGATAAGGTGGTGTAGGGGTTAGTTCATAAAGGAGTTTGTGCACATCTTATATTCTTTATTCATTCATTCATTTTCTAAGCTGACGATTAAAGCTGCATTTTCAGCACACCATCCTCCTTGTCGGCTTGCAGGTCATCTTCTTCCGGCTATCATCTTCTTACAACCAGAAAATATATTATTATTTTTGTTTTTTGACGACGCCAAAGGTACAGCTTCACCTAATGAATCTTGATCCAATAGAATACTTGGTTTTCACTTTGAAAATCACAAATGCATCCAAAATATGAAATGAATCTTCAGAATTAATAAACTAATGATCTCACTCACATGAATGAATCAATGGTTTTTTTTTTTTTTTTTGTCTTTTCTTCAATCATGCATTTGGCTCATCCTTTATATGCATTTTGTATTTGCTTAAACAATAAGACAAAGAGTTGCATTCTAATTGCAGCCATGATTACACCAATCCTTATTTATCATGAGTTTTGCAACAAAAAATTACAAGACAAAGCTATAAAGGTGATCCAAATTTATATCTATTTTGCAATTGGCACGAGTCTTCTCATGGCTGGAAAGAGAAGAAAAGGAATTTTGAAAAAAAAAAAGAAACCCAACTTTGAGGTGCATGAACATAGAAGGTAAACATCACAAAAACAATCACCTGTTTCCCAACCTTCCGCAGTACTTGCCAAGGACAGTTGGGCGTCGAAAGCAACCGGTGCTCATCACCGGGAAGGGTCATTTTCTAATTTAAAACGAGTTTGATTTTGTCTGCCCTCTTGAAGATGTTATTGTTACATCTTTGTCAACCCCATGAGACTAACATTTTCATCAATTAAACGAAAATTAAATGATAGATTGAATTCAAGTTTTAATACTCAAACAAATAAGCCTTCGATTTTTATTAAAAAAATAAAAATAAAATATCATTTTTGTGTGAAATTAATATTTTTTATGCCCGAATATTTCATATTTTGTTAAAATTTTTTTGATTGATTGATGTAATTTATAAAAAAAATATTAAATCGAACTTGACCTAATCCGATTAAGATATCAAGTTTAAACCACAAATAATGAAAAAGAATTTAAATAAAAAAAAAAAACATTTACAGGACAAAGATTATCTTTAGGCTGTTATCTTTGAAAAATTCAAGCCCTCCATAAAGGAATAATTTTTGCATGATCTTTTCGTAGAAGGATGTTATTGGATAAGTACATGCACTTTAGACATTCTTTTTCATGCAATGAACATTTCAAAACCCCAAAAAATAATTAAAAAGTTTAAATTAAATTAAAGTAAAACAACAATTTTAATTCTCAAAAGGATCGATATTTGAGATTGCACGAATTTTTGTGTCTTCAACAGATTCATTTGACCATGTTCTCTTCCATGTCACACGTTCTTTGTTTTTTTTCCCCCAATTTGGTTGGGAACTCGGGATGTGATTACTTAGAACCGTTTTATCTAATTAGTTGAAAATCAATTTAATTAACTTGTAAGACCAAACGTGCATGTCTAACATATACATGCCCTTGAATCAGATTTTTTTTTATTATTCGAGGTTTTAAGAATTGAATTTTAATTATTAAAATTAAGAATTTAATATTTTATTAATAAATTACGTTCTTATTTTTTTTTAATTTTTCTCATATTATGATTTTTTTTAATAAAAAAAACTTATAAATGCCCTTCTAAAAAAAAAATATGGTGTCTATTATTTGTTAAATTAAAAATTGTGTCTACTTTAACATTGAAGTTTAATTTGTAAACATTATATAATTTCATAACTTTAATTAGGTTTGGAAGGACAGAAAAATTATAGTGGATAGAAGCAAAATACAATTAAAAGAATGAAACTAAGGAAAATATTTTTTTAACATTTACAAATTCACTAATTCTTTTTAATGGATCAAGACAAAAAGGAAAGTATATATAATACTTGATATGTCCCAATTAATCATGCAAATTATAATTTGCAAAACCTCCATATTTATATTGTAAAATTTTTTTAAATTCATAGACTTAAATTTATATATATCATAATAAATCTTTATAAAATTTAACGCGAAATCATAAAATCAAAATGTTACTAATTGAATCCATCTAAAAGGGAGAAATGGTTTTTTTTTTTCCTCTTCTTTTTCTTTCCTCTTTGCTTTTTCTTGTTATTACCAACCATGATAATGGTATGTGACAGATTAGTCAGATGAATTTGAAGTAAATAATTTATAAACTTTTAAACTTAATGATCCCATCTTCATCCAAGCCAGTAGCCACCCAAAATAATGACATCATTTACATATTATTACCCCTCTTGGCAACTAACTCAGGCCCCCTAGTCCATAAAAAAAGGGGATGGATTTGGAACTTTGGCTCAATTCCTTGTACCAGGATAACCTTAATTTCTTAAATAATCTCAGCGGGGCTTGGCTACTCGATTGATCCCACTGAAAAATATTTTAGGGTTAACTCACTCTAGGGATGAAATGAACTGGCATTGAGAGAAAAGCTAGACTGAGTGACAGCAACTTTTTTTTTTAATTTTTTTTTATTATTAGTAAATATGTATAATAGTTCAAGTTGATCATATTATTAATAAAGGGAGGGACCAATGTCCAGAAGCATGCATTTGGGACAAATCTACATGATTCCATTGAGAATAATAATGAGGCAGCAGCATATTAACAAGTAACAACAGAAAAGCTGATTAGAAAGATTCCAATGGACCATCACACGAGTATTGTATGTTAGTGGCACTTGCTGTACTGCAAGTTGAAAGACTTGTTAAAAAAAAAATTCATTGTCAAATGGGATATTTTTTAATCTTTGAAATTTCCCAAGAAATTGATACCGTCTTCAAATTTTTGGGATTCAAATTTACCAAGTCTTCAGTTGGGAAGATGGCAACAGAAAGATCAGAAGAGAGGGAGCTTAATTTGAAGAGATAGATGAGATAGATTCAATGATTCATACTTGTTTTTCCTTTTACGCTACATAAATTCTCACCCCTTTTTTCTTGAGTCACATTTTCAATTCATTTTGCCCATCAATTTCAGTCCATACCAAGTTATGGGACCAACATATAATCCCATAAGCCAACTCATATTCAATGTATATTTTCATTACTTCAAGGCAACTAAACACCATTTCTCTCACACATCCTTTTCTTGGTTCATTTGTCAAATTTAAACACATAATTTTGTAGCCCATCTGATTTTTTTTGTTTTTCATTTCAAAGACGAATTAAAACTCTGAAAAGAGATGATTTGGCCATTACCCTTTGGGTGGAAGGAAATTTTTTTACTTTATTTTTATACTATGATTAAAATTAGAATACGAAACATTCAATTTGAAATCGATTCCAATATCGTTGAATTGATAATTGTTCATAATATCATGATAATTTTTGTTACCAGCTAAATCAATATCCATTGTGATTGATTGTGATGACCCACTAAAATCTTACTAATTCAAATAATTAACAACCACGTGTCTTTATCAAAAAATAAATGCAAAAAGATTTTGAAAAGTTGGTGTCATTGAATTTAAATACACAAAGACTTAAGGTTGGAGCTCTGGACCACACAACTCTATCAACATTCATGCATACATCTGAATTAGTAACGACTTTTAGCAAGGGAAGGGCCACTCAAAGAATTTTACGTGGCCAGCTAAACAAACAACACGTCACTTGAAATTCGAAAGACTTGAATGATTTGAATTTTGTGGTTATGCTTTTTGGCTTTTATTTGGAGCATCTACCTAATATTGTATAATAAGTAATAAAACCAACTTATCAAATAAGTTGATCTAAGCATTTAGCTACTAATTCAACGATGTTGAAATTGATTTTATGATTGAAGTTTTCAATTTTGAATTTTGACTTAAATAAAAAATAAAATTTTGAATTTTTGATTCAAAAATAAAAAAAAATTAATTTTAATTATTTTAATTTATAGGATCAAAATCATCCAAAATGGGGACATAAAAGAAGTTGACATGATTTCTTTTAATTTTTGGTATATAAAAGACTTGTTTAGTTTACATTTGATAAATATCAAGATAATTTATTTTCATTTATGAACGCAACTTGCTTTTCTAATTTGATCTTGAAATTTGAGATAAAACATTAAAAATTAATTGTTAAAATTTTAGTCCAAAATTTTATCTAATTTTGATTATATTTGTATGTCAAAGATATCATCAATTTAATTGATGTTGAATTCATTCTTATAACTACATTAATTACATATGGTATTAAGTTAAAGTCATATAAAACAAGAATTATGTGTGTCATATAGTAATTATACAAATTTTTTAAAATAATTTGGACAAATTTTGTGAGTACATATAATTTTTAATTAATTAACTAATTAAATTTTATTAATTTATCAAATTTTATTTAATATTTTTATATAAAATTTCATCTAATTAATAAACTTCAATTAAATAATACTCAAAACAATTAATGATGATGATATTGTTATTATTATTATTAAATTATAATCACAAACTTTATAGAGATTTAATTATTTTTCGAGCAATTTTGATATATTTAAAATATCACTTTAAAATATTATGATAATTACCAGAAAATTATAGCGCTTATACTTTTTCATGATTTTATTATGCAAAATAATTTTTAAAAAAAAAACGAAAGAAAAAGCGTATAAGCCGTGTTTATCCATTCATCTTCCTCGGAGAAAAAACGAGGAAAGTTAAACACGGTCGCTGCCTTTCATGTACTTTTGTACAAAATTTAAAAAAAAAATAAAATTGCCAATTGACAAAGTCCACCCTCTGATCTGATATTAAAAAAATAATAATAATAACTCAGTTTGTCAAATCCCATCTTCATTTCCGGCCATCCATTGGACCTACAAAAAATAAATTCACAAAATATGAACCCCTCGTAAAACAAAAGCTAATCAAATTCATTGTACATTTTTTTCCAATTGTCTAAGAGAAGAGAACCCAAATTCTCATGCATTTGGCAAACCCCATTTGCCTTTGGTTCGGTCCTTTCTTTTCCTATTTACTATTAGATTTTTTTTAATCATAAATTAAATTTAATAATGTAAAATATGATATAATGATATGATAAAAAATAATATAAAAAAATATGAGAGTAACACGATTTAAAATTTTAATAATAATTATATATAAATTTATATTTTTTATCAATATAAATTATAATATATAATTTTCATATAAAATATGATATAAATATATAAATTTTAATATTTTATAAAATACTAATACACATAATCATTAATTCTAACGCTCGTCAACCCAACAACCACACCCTCTACTGTATTATTGGCATTTTCTTTCGTGGGAAGGTTCAACAGTTTTGGCTGTTACTAAATGAGTTCACAGGGTCGGCCTAGATTGACTGGTGCTGCGCAAATCTGGGGCAGCTTCACCGAACTTTTCAATTTAGTGGTGATTGAGTTTTGGTTAATTAACTCTATTGATGTTGACAAAAGAAAATTTTCAAAGCTGAATTAATTTGAATGTTGAAAATTTCATTTTTGCTATCATAAATGAAAAAAATAATTTAACCGATTAATAATTTTGGCATATGATATCCCCTTTTAATGATTTTTTTTTTTTGAAGTTTTTGTATTACCTTTAA